ACTTATCGTCATATGAAAAGTGAGCGTAGGTTTTGTCATATTCCTATTGCTCTCGAAAGATGCATAAGTTTATTAGATCCTGCCAAGTATTGTTCTCAAGAAAATATTGACTAAATCGGTCAAAAAACTTTGAAATGCAAGCGAGATAACTAGACTATCCGTTATCGTCACACCGCCCATGTCACTTTAATTCGTTTAAGAGCAAATGATTCATGGGTTCTTTTTGCAAATTTCTTTTTTAATAAAAATTAATGATAATTAGCAGGTGTAGCGATTTCCGGCGGATATCCTCCTCCTATTTGTGGTTTTGTTGATTTTTTTTCAACAAGTACCTAGCTGTTTAAAGTGATGCCCAAGGCTTTTCAAAATTTTAATTTGATTAGAAATGTGATGAGTATTCAATCTGAGTTGTAAATATGAATTAATTAAAAAGAAACAGACAACGGTAATTATTTTATGTGGAAATATCATAATCAACATTATGGTACTTTCTTAACTCCAAAAAATATTTCTAAAATACAGTTAAATATTCAGCGCCATATAAAAACGAAACGAAAAATGCCGAACGTGGATTATGAAGCTCATAATTTCGTATGCTACACTGTACCGGAGTGTTCCAGCGATGGTAATACCGATTGCAATTACAATGAAACGCCAAGTGATAGCACGTCAACTGAATCCTCAATAGATAATAATGTTTTGCGAAAACAGAAACTATATCGTAAAAATCATAAAAAAATTTTGGTACCGAGAATCACCCCGGGGTTGCACCCACAATTCGGTTACTTCGTGTCTTTGACATCTAATGCAGTTATAGAACCGCAGTTACTGCGAATGCGTTATAGGTTAGTTATATTGATATCAGAGTATAAAGGTGTATGGAATCTTTTATTTCTTTTTTTCGCAGAAGAGATGTCACTGGTGTCACAAGCTAAGTTAAATAAGATTTGCGTGCAAGAGGTTGCACATCGGCAAAGAACTAATTACTCTTATTTAATACTATTTCTCTCTTTAGAAGAAATATATATTATCAAGAATTCATATTGAGACCGTTTGATTACATTTGCTTTATGAATATAAAAAGGTAAAAAAAGTAAGGCTCATTGTTTTTGTCATATAAATGTTTGTGCTAATAACGCAAAAGCCGATTTAGCTTTCATTAAAGGTTGGGCAAAGGAGTTCAATTACCCATCCTGCTATTCGCGTTAAGAAATTTAAATTGGGATGCGCAAACTAGAACCTGATTTCTTACAAAAGTCGATTACGGCTGATTAATCTGCCTACACTCCATAGTCCTAGAACGATGCTTAGAGTTTTATTTTTAATTTAATTGATAAAAAGTGTTAGCCTATTCCTACTTAGTGAGCTTAACTTTACCATCCTTTTAAATGCATCAGAACAAACTTTGAAATTCATGACCCTTTTAGATGTTTGTGTAACCATTTTAATACATATTTCCCCAACATTGATTCCTCTGATTCGCTTTTCTGTGTTAAAACCTGCTTTATATAATTAAGTAAATTCTTTCTCCTTTTCTCATGTAATTTTATAGCAACTGATGAACAAATCTCTAGCTGTTTTGTGTAAGAGGCAAATGTAACCGCGACCCGCCGCGCTCGGTCTCAGGTTCAGGCTGTCCCCACTGTCACTGGTTTTCGGTTACCGGTTTGTAGAATTTTTCGAACATTCCTAGAATGCACCCCTCGGTCGTTTGGGCGGAATGTGGGTAACCAAGGACGTCTTCAGTAAGCGTTGATTTGTCACTGGCTCAATTTGATTATATTTATGAAGATGACTGATTCCATTTCGTTAAACTGATAATTAACCCTTCCACTCCCTTTTATAGATTTCAATGAGCAAAAACATGCGTCTTGAACATTATAAACTTTCGGACATTTCAAAGATGAAAAGCCTGAAACCGTTCAGCTAAAAGGCTATGAATTATTAAGAAACCCTACAATACTGAGCACATGTCTAATAGTCTACGGCATCTTCTTTATCCAACTTTAGTTATTCTGTGTGCTTTTCAGGCTACCCATGCGAATGTACAGTGGCTCACAGCCAAAGTGATGTAGCTATGTAAGAAGTGGTTTTATTTAAAAATTAAATAAATTTTCCAAAAAACATGAATGCCAGTTAATAGCCGCAGATATAGAGATTTTATTGATGCTTTAAAATAATTTTCAGCTTAAACAAACTTCACTAATAAATTGTACCTCAAACCGAAAATGATGCAGTCAAAAAATTAATAAATTTCCTTTTTTTAAGAACAAAGTTAAAATTGTATGTTAATTAATATTTAGTAGGATACCCCTTGCTGTTCATGACATGCTTTCATACGTTTGGGGGCACTTCTTCGTGTAGTCAATATTCTTCCATTTTGTTTGTAGCGCTTTTTTTAAGTCCGCTTTATTTCGAATTTAATATTTTCAAATCATTCGTTCCAAAACTGAGCACAGATCCTCAATCAAATCGAAATCTAGAGACTGCGCTGGGGTTTTTACAATGTACGAATAGCTCCAAATAAGCCAACGCCTCATTTGTGTTTCCAATCATTAAATTGATAGTACCTTAACTTATCACTAATATTTAATTTTGAGGCACTCTGCAACAAATTTCTTTTTAAAATGTCTAAATACATACATAGTACTATTGATGAAATCCCAATTTCCAACTCCATAAGACGACATGCATCCCCATACCAGCATGTAATGTAATCCACGATGTTTTACAGTGATACATAAATTTGCGTTTGCAATGCAACATTTGGTGTGCTCCATACGTAGTTCTTTTCATCTGATCTAAGCAGGTTGAATTTACTTTCGTCCGCAAAAATTACGGTGTCCCAGAAACTTTAAACTGTATATCAGCCTTGCACTTTGATTTTTAGCAATGACATATGGTTTATTTCGAGCGAAATCAGCTTCTCTGAGGATACTTCGTATGGTTTCTGGGTTACAGCTTTTTCCAAGATATTTTAGCACTTCTTTACCAAAAGTTGGAGCACTTAAGTGGGGGTTTTCGCGTATTTTCCGTACAATCCATCAGGAATCACTCTTGGCTCAATTCCACCATTTCCGCGATTTTATGCTGACTTTTACCATCTTTATTACGTTTTAAGATTAATTCGCGTACTTCAGTACTTGTTTGGCGACCAATTTTGATATACACTCACCGAATGCCAATACTATAATCTCAAAATTATCACATAATACACCAAGTTTGCTTGTTATTATAGCGGTATTTATTCGCATTCAAAAATCGTCGACAAGTTGTAAATACAACATAAAATAAAGAATTTTGAAAGCATTAATGGAATGTATATATCTGCGGCTAGTAACTGGCATTCGTGTATTTTGGGAAATTTATTTAATTTTTAAATGAAGCTCATCTACATCATAGAATACTATTGGTTCCAGAACAACATGTTTGCTTAATCCAGCTTCAACAAAAAATGTATTTGAATAATTCATTACTTTAGTTTTAGCACTTGTTGGTTATTATTAATCATATTTGTATCTTATCGACCGATTGACCTGAAATTTTGTTAGATTGTTTCTATAGTTTCTGAAAAGCTTTATACGAAAACAAATTTTCGGGAAGTAGACCAGAGTCTGACCTATTCGAAAAAAGTTGATTTATTGCTTAGGTGGCTTTTTGCTTAGGTTAACAGGAAGACTATTCATATCTCCAAGAAATGAATTAGACACTAACTTAATCCACGAAATGGGTCGTCCTGCAGTCTGCGCTAATTACCGTGGGAAAAATCACTTAATATCGCATTTAAGATTCTCTTGAGCATATTGTGTAAAAGACTAAAGCCCACCATTAAAAACTGATTGGCCGTTATCAGTGTGGCTTTACACCTGGTAAATCTATCATTGATTAGATATTTACCATGCACCCAATCTTGGAAAAGGCCCATGAAAAGACGATCGACATACACCATTTTTTTGGTAATCCGGCTATGTAATCTGACGTCATGCAACATTGAAAACTCCTTCTAGATCGGGAAGGATCTCTCCAAGCCGTTCGACACCAAGCAAAGTTTCAGGCGGGATGACTTATTTAATTTATTGCTGAAAAAACAATTTGAGCTGAAGAGGCGAAGAGAGACGGTACAATCTTCTATAACAGTGTACAGCTGCTGGCCTAATATTGGCATTGTTGGCCTCAATAACCACGCCGTGAGTTCTGTTTTTCCGGACTTGGTAAGGAAGCGAAAGATAAGGATCTGGTAGTGAATGAGTGTAAGACGAAATACATATCTCCGGTCTTCAAACAAACTCGGCGCCTACATCAGTGTGACAGTCATAACTTTGAAGTCGTAGATAACATCTAATAAGTCGGCGTTAGGATTTTTCCGGAGAAAGTTTTGGAGTGAGATTTATAAAGTTTGCAGACCTGATAATCTTCATATTTGTGTGGCTGACGGTAAAACCAAAAATGTTGTATCCCTAAGGTATTGAATAAATAAAATAGTGGTGTAACGATATCCAAAATGAAATCTTTCATAAATTCATTGAGTATGTATCACAATATTATATTGAACATCTCATATCCCTTTTGTGCCAGCGGGTATTGTATTCGCTGAAATATAACGAGTATATTAAATTCACCCCGACAGGGTTGCTTGATAGCATACTACTATTTCTCTTTGTGAATTGCTACGAGGAAGCAAGTACTATTTAATCAAAAAGTCTTAATTAAAAATGCAAATATAATAATTATTAGAATATAATTCGACACATATAAAAAAATATGGTGGTAAACATATTTTCCATCGAAAAATATAAAACAAACAATTAAAGCTACCTTGCGTCATACGGAATTTTACCATGTCAAAATCTAGTTTCAATACCCTTTTCAAATACTTTGAAAATCACCTGATAGTTTCCATACTCCTTTATACTTTGATTATTATTGGAAATATGTAGTTTATAACAAAAATGTAAGTGAAAATTAATAACCTCTTTACAAATATATTCATGTACTTCCAGAGAAAAGGAAAACGATCGCAACCGGCGAGCTGTTAGCTATGGTGGTTTGGAGCATAATGTAGGTTCATTGCCACGTGCCGCTCCACGTCGCGTATCATTGATGAAAGACCCGCCTCCACCACCTCCACCAAAGCCAGCACAACTTGAAATGTTAAAAAATAATTCTGCTACTCCCTCCATGCCAATTAAATATGAACAATCGGAATATAATTTAATTCAGAATATCGACTCAAACACTGCCCAATATCAATTGCCGAACTTTTATGTAAATACTACAGAGACTGCAAATTTCGCAATGACCGGTAGCAATAATAATTACTCATCCCTGCTATGTCATGCCAACTCCATGCAAAGCCCAACATCTGTGAGTAAGCGTGAGAAACTTCTTCATCGTTTTAGTGATGCTGCAACATTGGGCCGGAAATTGAAGAAGAAAAAGAATACGAACAGAACTTGCCGTTCGATGACTGAAGCCATAGAAATGCTTGCGGATCCCGTGATTGAAGACGAATTTTTTGTAAGTATTGTTTGCTTGTTTGAACAATATTAAATATATTATAAATAATATTTAATGAAGAAAGTTGTTCCTCCAGAAAGAGATAATAACAACTTAGAATAATTAATGTGAAATGTTGTTAAGACAAAATTATTAGTGTAAAAAGAGAAATTATTTTGTTTTCAAACGGTTTCAAACAAATTCGTGTGAAAAGGGAATTAAGATTGAATGATAAAGCGAAAAAACAGAGAAACAGAGGTATTGCATTGCATATTTACGATAGAAAAATTTCAAATAGCCCTCCCACCTTTGGACAACCACTTGACGAAATTCCTTTAGAATCGATGGGCATACCGCTTACTGTAAATTACTGTAAAAATCGTAACAATAAATTTCACGTTAATCAAAAAATATCAATCGTTTCGGTTGAAAAATTTTTAAGAAAACCATCCTCTTAGAAAAACTGCATTCCTTTCCGATCTGCAGCGATCTCTTATTTCTCGAGTTTTACCTACACTCCTTTCTTCATTCTGTTTTTTAAGACTGATTCTAGTTTTAGATATTGTCAATAACTTATTTTTTTTTTTTTTTTGATCAGAACTAAAGGGATGTGGAACTGAGTATTTTGTTTTACTTAAGTTTTGCATTCCGATGTTGTTTATATCTTGCTCTTGGGCTCTCTACTTGCTCGTCTCTTGTATCTTCAGTTGTCTCAGAACGAATTGTGGTGGAAATACAGGAAATGTAAAATATCTTTAGAGTTATTCTATTTTGGTGCTATTTTATTCGATGAGTTGTGTGCGACAGTCAAAATATAAGACTATATCACAAGCAAGCCTGCTTTTTTTAGGACTAATGAAAATTACGAATCAAATCGCTTAGCACGCCTTTCGTATTCAATATTCCTCTTCCATGACTATATCACTTTCACTGCTTGGAGGGAATGAAGTTGAAGTCTACCTGAGCAAACTGGCAATGGATGGGATACTGATGTTACATCAAGATATTTATTTTGAGTTAATTTTCTTGTATATATACCCGTAACATTCCTGAAACAAAAGTATGAAACACCTATATGATCAATGGCCTCATCTAGAGCTTTCTTCTGGAAGCGTTGCAAAACAATAACGGGATCCACGACTTACATATGAGTGTCTGCATTTGCAAAACTGCCCCTTAATAACAAATAAGATATTTTAGTTACACTTAAGATTACTTGCCAAGCTAGAATTGTCATTATTTTATAGACGTTATGTCAGCACAATGCTTGCAACACGAGAGAACTTGGAAACTTGAACTAATATTGCCGACCGGATTAAAAATTTAGATTTATTCTATAAAAAATTATTAACAATAATTCTAATCTGATGGGTCCAGAAGTTGATTTGAAAAAAAATATTTATTAACCCAACGGTTATATGCAGATAGGCATGGCTGTTTATGTATTGAGAAAATATATTTTCCTTTTGGGCTAAAATGAGGGAAAATTGCTTGCTCTTAATATTGTCAGAAATTTTATATTCACTTGGCGGCTTTATTAGATGTGTACATAGAATTCATTGGTCAGGGTAATACTTTCTCTTAAAAATGACGTTCTATCGATTCCACCGATAATTTCAATAGTTCTGTTGGGTGATCAGATGAGAAGTAACAATTTTTACTGAGCTTAAAACCCAACAAAAATGGCATCGAGAGAGCGCAATTTTGACGTTTAGTTTGGAGAGAAAGTAGCAAATTCGATCTGGGAAATTTTCAGCCTGCAAAAAGCAGCAAGTACAAAAATAGCTGATTTGTTACATGGTCATGAATTTTTCTCAACAAAAAAAATTGATTTAAATTGAAATAATATATTAACAATTTATTATGGATGATACACTAACACAATAAGTGACCAAATGTAAGATAATTTTAATGATATCAGCGATCAAATTAAATAGTTAAAATGAGAATGTGGTAGCAGTGGAGTGGAATCATCGTCCGCCGGGGTGATTACCCACTCAGCTTAGGTTGAGAAATACAATAGAAGTTAGGAATGTTGAAGGCGTAGCATTAGTAGAATTAGAATACAATATATTATTTTTATAAAAGAATTGGAGAATCTTTATAACAATGCTCAGTTAATATTGACGAACCGGGTACAAATCCTTGTGCGAACAACATCCAAAAGTTATAGAAAATTAATTTAAATAAAATATTAAGTTGAATTATCTAATTGTGGTCGCCCCTCGGCAGGGAATGTCAACACCTTCGAGTGTATTTATGACGTGAAATAAAAGCTCTTTATAAAACCATCAGCCGTTCGGGGGCGGCTTAGTATAAACTGTAGGTCCCTCCATTTTTTGGCAAAACATCAAGATACAAAGCCACAAATCGGGAGGAGCTCGGCTGAAAAATCGCTTCAGAAAAATAATTACAAACTCATTTTCGTGTTTCAATCATCCTTCCAGAAAATTTAAAATCGAAGCGACAAATTGTTGCAAAGCAAGTTCCATATAAATCATCGACCTCTTAGAGGACTATTAGAAAATACATATTGGTCTCTTTCTCGTGTGACGGCTATAAAGCAGAAGTAGAATTTCATCATTGCCGAAATACAATAAAACTTGAAAATAGTTAATAAATTAAAAATATTATTGCCAATTTTTATTAAAATATCTACGTAAATACTTAAAAGCAAAAGAAATAAATGTTCGGATTCAAATTCAACCGTTGTACAAATTGTTGGCTAATAAATCCTGTTCGGTAAAAACTCGGTAAATTTCTTTCTCTGGGAGAGTAAATCATTTTACTCTCTTAATTTCGTTACTAGCTACTTTTTACTGACATTTCTCAACGAACACAGCCAATAGGAGTTTTTTAATAGGATAATATCACCTTTTCTCCGCTCCATAATCTTCATTACGCCAAGTTTTGTCGAAGATTACTAGATACGAAACTTACTCCAATTTACTTTAATTGCTCTTATTGTTGAGAACGTTTTCTCATCTTAGGTCGTTGTGTTGGTAGAAGCGACAATGTTAAAAATGTATAAAAGTAAACATTTGATTGTTTTTTAACAAAATATTACAGCGAAACTGCAATTAAAGACGTCAAGTGCATTTCCTATTCGCAGTAAAATGCCCAAAACTTTTCCAAATATCCCAAAAAGAAATTTTGCTCTCTCAGTGATACTGTGTAGAAATTTAGAGTTTCGTCCCTAGTTATCTTTAGTCTTGCAGCTTCTCTCGTATATGTGGGCACATCAGCAAAGGCGAACATTATTATTATTTATACATACGAGGTGTGACAGTTAAGTAATGAGACTGATTTTATTGCCGCAATTGTGGTAACCCTGGGATCTTGAAACTCCCTTTCCCTTCGCCCGGCAACCTTCTATTCTCCATTGATATATTGCCATCGCTCTAGCTTGTTTAGTTCGCCTGCTGTGTCGTGTTGAGTAAACGTGTGTTCGGGGTACTCGTCACGAAAATGGAAAAACAAAATCAAGAGCAACGCGTCGCGATTAAATTTTGCGCCAAATTAGGCTGCTTGATCGAGTTATTATAGGCAATGAGAGCTGGTTTTTTCCATACGACCCGGAAACCAAACGCCAAAGCTCGCAATGGTTGTCTCCACACGCCCCCCCGCCGGAAAAAAAATCTCGCATGAGTAAGTCGAATGTTAAATAGATGATTATTGCGTTTTGATAGCCGTGGAATCGTCCACAAAGAATTTCTTCCACCGGGACAAACCGTAAATCAAGTCCACTATCGCCAAGTACGCGAAAAATTGCGAAAACGAGTCAACAGTTCCCTAGAACAAAATCGGTGGTCAAAGGAACCCATTTTGAGTCGATTGAGGACATCCAGGTGACAGTGTCGAGGATACTCGCGGACATCCCAGTCGATGAGTGCCAGAAATGTTACGAAGCATGGAAAACGTCCTGGAATAGTTATATAGCTGCCAAAGGGGACTACTTTGAAGGCGATGGCAAAGTTGTAGAATAATTTTGAAATATACGGTTTTATGGAATCAATCTCATTACCTAATTGTCACACCTCGTATGTATGCATGAATGTACTTACAAAAAAGTGTTATCGAGGTTTACGCCCAAATATCCATACAACTTCGGTCGCCGATTTATGATTGTGAAAAACTTATCAAAGCCGTTGGAGTGCTCGGCAAGTGTAACGGTTATTAGTTGTATCTATGGGCTTACTTTGTTTCATATTTTTTTATTTTCATCACTATTTCCCTTCCAGATATAATTCATTTCAGTTTCGAATGGGCGGTTGCCGTTAATACAAGTTTATTCGAAGTGAGATCAGTTTATGAGTGTACCTATATATATATATATATGTATCATAGAGGAATCAAAATAATTAAAAAAAAAAAATAATATCAATTTTCGTTCGGGAAAGCAGTCAAGTTTTATAAAAAAAAAGAAAACATTAATAGTGCAATCAAACAAATCGTACATATAACATGTAATAATCTTCCAGAAAATACAATAGGTGGAAATAAAAATAATTGCCTGTGCATTAAGGTCGCTTAATCGATATTGTCAAGATCGAAAAATAGCATTGAGCGCTACCACAGCAACAATGTAGATACATACATATGTATCAGACATTTATAAATTTCTTTCAGTGATATACGAACATATCTCACAATCCTCTGAATCAAATTAACCACTATTTGGTGCAAATCATTTCTGCCTTATTTGCATCTTTTTCTAAAATGCGCGCTATCGGTTAAAAATTTGCCCACGTAATGCACTTTTTCAATATCCGCTTTACTCGAATGAAACTGTTTATAAAAATTTACGGTAATACTAGTACGTGTATGAATCTATTCACAATTATTTAAATTTTACCTTTTTTAAATAGTAAGTGCTTACGTATGTAGTTGTTCTAGTGCTCAGTAAACATACACAATTATAAAAGCTGTTTGAAAATTGGATATAAAATTTTCATTTCGGAACCGTTTCCATTAGAAGAACAGGAAAAGATGGTAGCTGCGAGCAATTATACTATATAGTT